TTGCTTGGATCAACTTGGATGTCGGCAACCACTTCCCATTTCGCCGTCGTGCTGCGGAAATGTTGGTCTGCAACAACTGGGGACGCTGGAATACAGAAAATCCTGCAGAATGTTGGTGGTGTTCTTGGTGGTTTACTTGGGTGAGCCATAATTTCCGTACATAGAAAAGGGTAATTTTTAGCGTCCTCTTTTATTTTTTTCCTTTGTTTTTCGTAACTGTTCAATTGCAAGTGGAGCCATTGATTGGATAGTGAATTGGGAGAAATCAAGAATAGTGCAGGTGTTCAGCAAGGCTCCCATGAAGCAGCACAGAGAATGGCAGATGAGAGCGAAAGATCTTTTTCTCTCTCTCTCTTTCTCCCTCTCTCTCTCTCTCTCTCTCTCTCTCTGACGCACAAACACACGCACACACACACACACACACACATACACACACAACCAGCACCGCCCCCACCACCATCACCACCACCACCCCCGTCGACATCTACTACTACGTCATCCGCTCAGTCATTTGCCGCCTCTTCTTCATTTTCCTCTTCTTCTTCCGCCGCCTCGTCATCCCCCACCTGGCATGCCTCCCCTTCTTCATCGACCTAGTCATCAGCACATTCATGGTCAGATCAGCCATCACAAAGGCCCCGWTGGCAGGTACATCCAGAGGGWCGGATYGATTGCTACAGATGCCTCTTCGGCGGAGACGTTCCCCGTCTTCGCCGCCGCCTCGTCGAAGACAATGGCCTCATCTGTCCTGGAACAGCATGAACAAAACACACCCCCTGAAGGGGTTTAGAGATCTGCTCCRACGACATGCTCGCAACCGTACAGAGCGACATCGCCGTTCTCGATATACACTGCGCGTTTGTGAACGGCGAGCCAGTGGCCTGAGAGCGTCAAGCCTGCCTTACAATTCTACAAGTGTACTCTACACTCGAGTGCTAATCGATTCTAACTTTCTGAGCACGAGGCATCTGCACCCGTTGTCGTCTCGCCGGTCACACCACCTCTACCCGCCCGTATGCGGACGCCCTACAGAGCCATTTTGCACAACAGGCTCGCCCTCAGGCTGTCCTCCCCGCCTCGATCTCCAGCATAGCAGCCACCTAGGCACGATGTCTCATTCCCCTGATCCTCCCACAGTAGCAGGCTTTCACGCTCGCGAGTCCACCTTCTCGCCACTTACTACTCTCTCGGAGGACTCGGACTCGACTTCCTTGTCGGTCGACCCTAGTGTTGCCGACCCACCTCCCACGCCTTCGCCTAGCGTCTCTCATGACCCCTCTCCTCCTCCTCGTCCTCCTACTAGGCGTGCCTTTCGGATGGCCCGCTGCAGTGCCTCCCTTATTGCAGCAGAGGATATCATCGACTTCCTGGACCTTGAGTGTGTTAAGGTCCGCCAGGAACGTCTCCGCCTTAAAGAGCACACCCTCGCCTCGATCTCCCAGCGCTTACACAATCCCGATCGCACTYTACCGATTATTCCTRTGCGCCTCGGGASCTCTACTAGAGTCTATCGCGCATTATGGGACTCTGGCTCTACTGGCGACTTCATCCATCCTCGCGTAGTCAAGGAGGCATCCCTCTACACATCTTCCTACTCCTCCACTGTCACTATCACCCTTGGCGACAACCAGGCCAAAACCTTTGTCGATTCTGTGGTGCCTGATCTTCCATTTTCCTTTCCCTTGCGGATGCCCCATAGCCTACGCAAGGCCCCGCGGTTCCATGACCAGTGGACTTTTGACGTCATGGAAACCATGTATGACATTATTTTCGGCACTGCCTACTCACATCAATTTGCTCATTCTGGCCCCGATTGGGTCCACAACGACCTCGTCCTCTACACCAAGGACGATCATGGGTATCGTATTCCGTTGTTGGGCAAATCGGGCCCTACATCTCCTCCCCCTGTTAATGTCACCATTCTGATACCTACTCACTTTAACCACATTCTTCGCCAGCCGGATGCCGAACTTTACATTGTCGACATCACGGACCTTCTTACCTGGAACTCCATGCATCAGGACGTTGAGTTGGTCGACCTCGATCCACCACCCCCCGAGCCTCCAGATCCTCCTGATTAGTCGACTCCCTCCATTTCCACGTGCTCATCGCACTTTGTCGCGTCCTTTGACAGGGAGACGCCATCCGCACTTATCCCTACGCCGACTCCTTCCACTCCTGCTTCAGACGCTGCTGCTGCTAAGGAGTTAGATCACCTCCTAGCGACCTTGCAGCCAAGCGTCGCTACCCTCCTTCGCAAGTATCGCGATGTCTTTTCTTCATCTGTCTCCTATAGTAGCATTCCTCCTATGCGTGACATCGAGCACCGCATCCAGCTGGAACCGAATTACCGTGTCCAGCATCGAGCCCCATACGGCATCTCGGTCCCCGAAGCCCAGGAACTTCAAATCCAGATCGACAAGCTGCTTCGTCAGGGCTTCATTAAACCGAGCACGTCATCGTGGAGCGCACCGGTCCTCTTCGATCGAAAGAAGGACGACGCCCTTCGCCTCTGTTTCTATTACCGCGGCCTCAACCAGTATACGGTCAGAAACAGTTATCCCATGCCCCGTGCAGATGACCTGTTCGACCGCCTCGCTGGCCATCATTTTTTTACGAAGATTGATCTTCGCAGCGGATACCACCAGATCCGTGTGGCCAAGGAGGACAAGCACAAGACCGCGTTTCGCTCTCGATGTGGACACTACGAGTTCACTGTCATGCCTTTCGGCCTCCGTAACGGTCCTGCCACCTTCCAGATGGCTATGAACACGATGTTCCAGGACCTTCTCGAGGACTTTGTTCTAGTCTACATTGATGAAATCTTTATCTACAGTTGTACCTTAGAGGAGCATATGACCCACCTCCGCATTGTCCTCCAGCGATTACGCGACCACGGATTCTATGCGAAGCTCTCCAAATGCGCCTTCGCTCAATCCAAGGTCGACTTTCTAGGACATCAGGTCTTCGAGCATGGACTCCACAGGGACGACTCGAAGATCCAGGCTATCGTCGATTGGCCTACACCTACTTCTCTTCCTGCGCTACATAGTTTCCTCGGGTTGACCAACTACTACGGTCATTTACGGTCATTTTCTTAAAAACTATGCGCAATACTCTTCACAGTTGACTCCTCTGACCCGCGGACGTCTACCCTTCCATTGGACCCCGACTCATGAGGATGTCTTTCGCTCTCTGAAGCGACTTGTCACGTCAGCCCCTGTCCTACACCTACCCGACTACCCCCGCCCATTCATCGTCACCACCGACGCGTTCGACTTTGCCAAAGGAGCTGTCCTCTCCCAGATTTACCCAACCCCTTCTACTTCTCCACAGCCCCACAGAGTCTCGTCTCCCTCGCATTCCTCGCTTTCCCCCCCCACCCCGAGCGACTGCGGCTCGACTTGTACCTATCGAGCCCACCACCTCAGTGGCTTCACCTCCCTACACCCCTGACGTCGCTGATGACGGCTCAGTCGAGTCTCGCGACGGAGAGTACCCGGTTGCTTATCTATCTCGACAGCTTTTTCCTGCTGAGCGTAATTACACTGCTGAGGAGCGTGAGGTACGCGCGCTGGTTTACGCTGTTAAGAAGTGGCGTCATTACTTACACCATCACACATTCAACGTCCTGACGGATAACTCTGTCCTCGCCGCTTTCCAAACGAAGCCGAAGCTTACCCCTCGCCAGGCTCGTTGGTGGCGTGATCTCGCAGAGTTCGACCTTACCATCAAGAAGATTACTGGGGAAAGCAATCGCGTAGCTGATGCCTTATCTCGCTGTCCCGATCTTTGGTGCGATGATCGCCAACTCTCTGCCATTTCATTCCCCGTCATCCACCCCGCTTTCCTAGATAAGTATCAGTCGGCATACCCCCAGTGCTCCGAGTTTCAGTGCATCTACGATGACTTACAGGCCGGCAAGACTGTCCCTAACTTCCAGCTCGACTCCTCTGGACTCCTATATTGGCTTGGTCGCCAAGGTAACCGTACTCCCCGCTTAAATGTCTCATCTGTCGGCCAGCTTCGTGTTCGAGCTGTCGTTGAGTGTCACGATCAGCGTGTTGCCGGTCATCTCGGTATCCTCAAGMCCCTTGACCGACTCTACCGCCATTACTACTGGGAGCACCGCCGTCCTTTCACGACAGAGTCCACCTGCAGGACCTGCCAGGAGGCGAGCATTCCCAACCGCCTATGGCCTTCTTCAGCTCTCACCCATTCCTACTCAGCGTTGGACCTCCGTCTCTATGGACTTCATCGGCCCACTTCGTCCCCCTACCCCACGAGGTTACGATGCCATCTTTGTTGTTGTCTGCCGCTTGACTAAGCATGCTCACTTCCTCCCCTCCAAGTATGCTAGTTCAGGCAAAGACATCACCACTCTGTACTTTAACCGTATTGCCATTCATCATCGTCTCCCCAAATTGTCTCTGATTGCGATCCCCGCTTCACTTCTCATTTCTGGCGTGGACTCCATGAGACTTCTGGATCTGAGCTTCGCCTTTCCTCCTCCTATTACCCCAAGTCAGACGGACAGATTGAGGTCACCAACAAAACTCTTTGGACTATCCTCAAGAAGTTTGTTGAGAATGACTCTGATTGGGATCTTCATCTTGCTCATGCAGAGATTGCTTATAACCACGCTATTTCTCCCGCCATCGACATGTCCCCCTACTACTGTGACCTGGGATATCACCCCCGTGTCCCATCTGATCTCCTTCGTCCATCTCAAATTCACCTTGACACCAAATACCCAGCTCTCGATGAGTGGGTAAAGGAGATGGATGCGCTCCTTAGCAAGGCTCGAGTGAGCATTGCTCACTCCCAGACTCGCATGGCGACCCGCGCCAACCGCTCACGCATTGACCATCCCTTAAAAGTTGGCGATGAGGTCCTTGTCAACGCACGTCACTTCCAGCCCGAAGCCGACACACTTCGGAAATTCAGACGTCGATATATCGGACCATGCACCATTCTCGCACCCGCCGGACCCAATCATGACTGTCCAGTGAGCTTCAAATTGAAGCTCCCCGATTCCATGTATCGYGCTAACCTACATGATGTGTTTCATGTATCCCTTTTGCACCCTTTCAGACGTTCTCCTCCTGAGTTTCACGGTTGACCTTACCCTCGCCCTTYTCCCATCATCATTGAAGGTCACGAGGAGTTTGTCGTCTCTGATATTGCGTCTCGGCGTATGACAGATGGTGACCCTCCCCGCCTCGAGTATCTTGTTCGATGGAAGGGTTACCCTGACGAGGAGTCTACGTGGGAGCCTCTTGAGCACTTGAAGCATGCTATGACTTTTGTGCGTGCTTACGATCATGCTCATCCTTTACCTTCATCATCGTCCCCTCCTACCTCTCGTCCTTCTACGGATCCATCTAGTTCAGCGACCACTAACATCACCCCCCCCTCATCGATGGGTCCTCCTGCTCCACTGGTACCTGCCCCAGACCCTCCTCCCCCTGTGGATGTGGTTCCGCCTGTCGTCGCAGTTGAGTCCTCTCGCCCTCAGCGTAACCATC